TCCCTCCTTGCCTATGTATATGCATCATTTCTCACCTACATTTTTCCAGAACTCCACTGCCCAAAGTATTAGCTTGGTTGATTGAATAGATTAAGAAATGGAGGTAGTAGTGAACTAGGGGAGGGGTGGACAAGGTAAGAAACAGATTAAGTCCCAGAATATGTAGACTTTGGTTAGGGAGTTAAGGAAGACCTTTTTTTCCATTCTCCTTCCTTGCCTGCCTCCTAACTCTTCCAAATCCTAAGCGTAAGGCAAAGGTTTCAATCCCTTAGAGTGTTACATATCTCAAAATAGACAGTAAGTATAAGGATAGAGGCCAGGAGACTGGTTTGTAGGCTATTGCAATAATCCTGGTGGTAGATAATGATGGTCACAAACAGCAGGGTGGTGGCAGTGAATGTGGAAATAAGTAGCTGGATTGTGCATGTATTTTGAAGGAAAAGGCAAGATTTGATGAAAAATTGGACACAAAGTAGAAGAGAAAGAGAGAAGTTACAGACTATTTCAAGGATTTTGGTCTTTACAACCAGAGAAATAGAGTTACTATGAACTAAGGGGAGAGCGCAGAAGGAGCTAATTGTTCAGGATAAGGAGAAGATCAAGAGCTTAGTTTGGGACATGTTAAGTTTGAGGGGGAGCTGTCAAGAAGACAGCTTTTTTTATTGCAGTTCAAGGAAAAAGTCTAGGCTAGAGATGAGATTTGGGGAATTTGGGAGTCTCTGGGTGGTGCAAAGTTTAAAGCATTTGACTAGTAGCCAAAAGGTTGGTAGTTTAAACCTGCCAAGAGGCACTTCAGAAGATCTGGCAGTTTGCTTGCAAAAGACCACAGCCTTGAAAACTCTATGGAGCAGTTTTACTCTGACAGACAAGGTGTCCCCATGAGTCAGAATTGACTCAACAGCAACCAACAGCAATAACAACCAGCACATCTAAGGTATTTAAACCGTGTGACTAAATGAGATCACTTAGGAAGGACATAAAAGGAAGAGTTTCAATGACTGAGCCCTGGAACATGTCAACACTAGTCAGTGGGGAAATAAGGAGGAACAACAAATAAGGAATGAGACAGAATACACTCTCAAGAATATATAGATTCTTGTTTTAGTCATATTTTGGTTAGCAATTAGAGTTTATGAATATGAAAATCATAACATTATATGGTTTATTTTGATTTATATCTCCAAAATAATATGATGACACTTCCAGTAGCAACACACACACACAGACACACACACACACTATATATATATATAGGGCACAGTGATTAAGAACTCAGCTGTTAACCAAAAGGTCAGCAGTTCAAATCCACCAGGCACTCTTTAGAAACCCTATGGGACAGTTCTACTCTGTCCTGTAGGGTTGCTATGAGTCGAAATTGACTCTACAGCAATGGGTATATACATAAGTTCACTGTTTAATCAATACAAAAATATTACAAAAATAATTTCAATGTTCATTATTCATAATTTGCTATATTATTTACATCCTATCAAATATTTTTGTCTACAAAAATGTTGTCTTTTTTATGGTTTTGCCTGATTAATAGCTTTTTCAAGTGTTTAGATTCAGTTTAAATTTCAGACCACTATAAAATAGAGTTTAACTGTATTCTTTTTATCTACATAATTAAATTCTACTCATAACTTTCCATTTAAGAAGCTATAACTTTTAAAATACGTGACATATTTGAAGAGTAAGGCACTGACTAGGTAGATGAAATTTAAGTGTAGTTAAAATTACTTTGTGAGTGGTATTTTTTTTTTTTTTTTTTTCTGTATCATACTGTTTCATCCTAGACACCAACATTGGCTTTTATTGTGGAAAATGAATCTTTTGTCCTCACTAGGTAAGATGCTCAGAATTAAAAGACTTAATAGGAAGTACCAATGCCTGCTACATAACTCTGCTGGAAAGGAGACTGACTTCGCAGCAGGAGGCCAGAGTTATGCCTTTGTCCTGTGGTGGTGCTTGGAGATTATATTGGTGGTGGGAGGGGCAGGGGCGAGTGACTTGGAGAGAAAGGATGAGAGAATGATAAAAACGGTTGGGAGAGACATCACTGGTAACGAGAAGGGAAACAAAACAACTTGTGTTGAATATGGACTGCAAAGGTAATCTGATAAATGATACTAAGAAAATTAGAATAAGTTAAGGCAAAACTTTTATCAGAGGCATTTTATAGGAAGACCGTGGGTCCAGAGGGTATCTCATAAAGTCAAAACAATGGGAGTACGTTTCTCTAAAGGTGCTCAACTATCACCTGCATCTGGACCTTCTAGGGTGCTTGTTACACATGCTTCAGCCTATTGAATAAGAATCTCTTGGTGCTGATAAGGAATCTGCATTTTTTACAACCACCTAGCCCCTATCCTTGGAGCCCTGGTGGCACAATGGTTAAGAGCTACAGCTGCTAACCAGAAGATCGGCAGTTCAAATCCACTAACTGCTCCTTGGAAATCCTATGGGGCAGTTCTACTTTGTCCTGTAGGGTCACTATAAGTTAGAATCGACTTGACTGCAATGGGTTTTGTTTGTGTTTTTCCAGCCCCTATCCTCACCCCTGAGAGAATCTTTAGCCTGCTAGAATTTGAGGCACTCTGGTGGTGCAGTGGTTAAGAGGAGCTCTGTTGGTGCAGTGGTTAAGAGCTAGGCTACTAACCAAAAGTTCAGCGGTTAAAACTCAGCAGCCACTCCTTGGAAACCCTCCGAGGCAGTTCTACTCTGTCCTATAGGGTTGCTCTGAGTCAGAATGGATTCAACTTGACTGCAATGGGTTTAGTTTGGTTTGGTTTGAACTAGTGTATAATGAAAGACTGTGTGAGAAATAAATCTTGAAAATATATCTATTTGGAATCAACTGGAGAGGAAACTCTAAGGGATTTTGCAGAGTAAGAGAAACGCAGAGAAAATTATGTAAGTAGATTATGTTCAAGAATAAAGACACAGTGATCTGCCAGGAAAGTATGATATGAATAAAAAAGGAAGACGATCATGACAAGAGTCGAAAGGAATGCATGGGAGTTAACGTATGAGAGACCAGAAATGACATGCTGAAAAAGGGGACAGTAATGTGACGAGAAAGATGGAAGACCACACATTGCCTTTAGCACTCTGGCTCTCCAAGAGCTAAGCCATGGGAGCTCTGTCAGTATGAATAAGACAACACCAGAAAGAAAACTATAATGACAGGAGAGCAGAAGGGTGACAGGAATTACAGAGCAGTTGCCACACACTGCTTTCTGTAGTAGGTCCTGCTCTCTGATGTCAGAGCTACTGGGTATCAAACATTGTCCTCCTGCTGGTGACACATTGACATATTTCTTTAAATAAACATTTTCTTTACAAAAGTAACACAGTGTTGTTTGCTTTACTAAAGACTTTGGTGGATTGAACTTTGTATCCAGTTTGAGTACAGATGAGTAAGGAAACATGATTTTATTAAAGACATTGTACACTTTTACATGAGATCTTCAGTCTTAAACAAGTGATGAGCCAGAAAGAGACATAAGGAATTAGTCAGGACTATTTCTTTCTTGCTACTCCTTGCAATTGTTGTCGTTTGTTTTGTTGTTTGCATTAAAAATGTTTAATTGGTAGTTAAGTTATGAATTATTTTAACCCTCTACTTCTGAAATGTAAAAGTCTACAATTCAAGTAAGAAATTAGTAGAAAACCCTTTTAAGAGTGTCAGAGACTGGTGATGTGTTTCTTAGCCTTTATAAATCCATACCTCTCATTGACTTGTTGTTCTATCTTCTGAACAGCCCAAACAGCCAAGGACATTTCTTTTAATCATTTTGCAAAAAATAATATGGATATTCAATATACTTTTGCAAAAGAACATTGTCCCTGTGAAGATTCGATACTTTCCCCTGAAAGTCATCAGGGTAAAAGGAGAGAGTGCTTCCTAGATGTTAGTTTTTAAAAATGGTTTCTAATTTTTTTAAATTAGAAATGGAATTATGAGAATTAAATAATGTAGTAGGCGAAAGTACAAAAAAAATCCCATAAATGCTCAACACAGATTGCAAGTTGTTGTGAAAAATGCTTCAGCAGTTGAGTGTGAAAGAATGTAAGTGTTCTGTGGATGCACCAACCATGACTTCCCTCTTCTTTCTTTCTTGCTAGCGTTTCCCAATTTTACACCTTTCCCTGTGGGAATGCTTCCTCTGTCTTTCCTAAATTAAATTGGTCAAAGGTTCCAGGGAATCTGTATCCCCATAACATGTCTGACCAGGTTCCTAGATGATGACTATACAAGCCAATAGGTCATCAATTAATAATTTTAGATTTCTTTACAAGTTAGATGGGAAATCATAAGCGAGAAAAAGGGTGGTTGATAAAATAGCATAATGGAATTTTTGTGCTATAAATGTCCTTTTTCTATCCAAGAAAATTCTTCGTTTTCCTCCCACTTCTTGGCTATAAAAATTCCACCTCTCCTAGAATATCATGGGGGAAAATAAGATATAGTATTTATTGAATGACTGCTCTGTGACAAGCACTATTTTTCGATACTTCACATGAATAATCTCTAATCTTACTCGTGTGATCGTTGGATAATTAGTCCTACTTTCCCCATGAGGAAGCTGAAGGCTCCCCAGGGTCACCCAGCTAGTAAATGTCAGAACCAGGATTTATATTCAGATCAACCTGAATATAAAACCTCATGTTTTCCCCTCTATACTATGTGGTCTTAAGTTTATTAATAATTAATAATAGTAATAATTTGTTTTGAACACTAATACTTGACATATATAATCATAAAGAAGCCTCCTAGTGTTTGAGAAAAAACTAAATTCCTTTTACATAGTTTTAAACAATGATTTGGCCAAGTTACTTAAAAACCCTTAGTACATGGTAAATTTCTCTTATAACAGTCATCTGATCAATAGGAAGTAATGATGTTTGGAGTTCTGTTTATCATTTGCCATCTAGCATTAAGGGCTGCAAATTCTGTCTGCTTTATGTGTAACCTGCCTTTATCTTTGTTGTTGCAGTACCGGCTACCAGTTTATTTACTATTCACCTGAAAACACAGCCAAAGCAAAAGAAGTTCTCAGCAACATCAATCAATTACAGCCTCTTATAGCAACCCATGCAGACCTACTGCTTAATTCTGCAAGCCAGCATTCTCCAGACAGCTTGAAGAGTTCTTTAAAAATGCTCTCAGAAAAAGTAAGATCGAAATCATCGCTACAGTGGGTGAAATGAAATAGTCAAATCCCTATTGGTGCTGCTTTCTGCATGCATTGCCTTTCATAGCATCTGGAAATGTAAAATAGACTAGGTTAAAAAGTAAGCTTCAAAGTATGGTCACAGGATCAAAATGAATTGGCCTCCTTCTCTTTTCAAGTCTTACTGAGCATTATTATTATTATTTTTTTTCCTGGTAGGAAAGGAAACCTGTTAGTGATTGGGGTATATTTTATCTTTTCCTTGACATCTTTCATTTTCTTTGGTTTGTGGTCTTATTAATGAATTAAATTAGATTTGGAAAATTATTTTCCTCTGGTGATCACCTAATTTTTATGCATATGAAGCTGTATATTTAAAGAGGAATGTCCTTCATTTGAAAGTAGAGCCTTGATGTGAATTCTTGTCAGTGGCATGGGGTGACTTCTCTCTCTCTGTTTGCTTTCTATAACATCATCTACTTGGTAAAATCAAAACCTAACCAAACCCGTTGCCATCGAGTCAATTCTGAATCATAGTGACCCTATGGGATCAGGGTAGAACTGCCCCATAGGGTTTCCAAGGAGCGGCTGGTGGATTTGAACTGACAACCTTTTGGTTAGCAGCCAAGCTCTTAACCACTGTTCCACCTACTAGGTGAAGGTCCCCCAAATTTTTAAAAGTATTAGTTATTGCTTGAAACATAGTGGGACCTAAGCCTTAGTTTTTCCAATTTGGACTCGCACTTGTATCTGCGGAGAGAGGTAGTCTGCATCAGGTAGCACTTTGTAGATACTCAATACCAACCTCCATAACTACTTAGGGCAGCTGTATCACATAGAGAGAACCAAGATAGAAAAAGTACAACTTGATTTTAAATGTAAAACCAGGTATCCTGGAGTCGGATTTTGTAATGTGCTCATCCTTCACCTTGGCATTCTGAGGACATATTGCTATTTATTATGAGACACTGACAATGTATATGCCCTTATAGAAACTGTTCAAAGATAATCCTCATGGTATCTAATTCTAGAATGAAATACCAGCGTAGTTCTTCATCTCCATAAAGAACAAATTCACAGAAACCTGAGTGTTATGTATGTGTGTATTTTTGATTCAGGTATGTTAATTTGTAATGATAATCCTTTGTACTTTAACATTTTAACTTAAAGTGCACTTCTCATGTATTTTTCTCAGGGGAGAAAACAAATATCTATTATCATTAAATATTCGCTAATGTCTACTCAGAAAGGCCAGCTAAATTATCTAATAAAAAATGAAAAATCAAAATCCAAGACTTCCAGTTGAAAATAGGACATTTTTCCATGCCAGAGAACCAGTGCCTCCATCAGGAAAAGAGAGGAAAAAATTGACCCAAATGTTACAAGCACTTACTTTGTGTCAAATATTGTGCTAGAGACTTTGTGTCTTCTGTTATTTTACTTAATCTTCATAATTCTGGGGTACATGTACTATTCATTTCACAAAGGAAAAGACAGAAGCTAGGGGAAGTTAAAAATAAAAAACCAAAATCATACAGCTGTATTCAAACGCAGGTCTGGTTGACTCTGTAATGTAAGACTTTTATGGTATCCCTTATGTAATAATGTAATATTTATGTTTTGACCTCTCTTTATTTTCTTTCTCTCTCTTTCCTTCTTTCTTCTTAGACAAATTCCTCAGCAACACTTATCTATTTTAGTAGTTAATAAATAAATCTTTATGGCTAGGGGAAAAAAATATTGGGGGGGGAGGTTTCTTGCATACAGTAAAATAATATAATTTTTTTTTGGGGGGTTAGTTTCTCTTTTGGAGTCGTAGATAAGAGGAGTTTTTCTGAATCCACTTAAGCAGAAAATTTTAGCAAATAGCACATCACTGGAGTGATTACAGAGCAGTATTTATATTCTTCCTGTTCATTGGGCAAGGATTTGTCATTTCATACATCATTTTATAACTTGCAGCAGTGATTTGGGGGAGGAGGGTGTTTCTCCTCCTTTAATTCAGCATTGATACAACTTTTTTCCCTATGTTTTTCTACTGAGTAAACAAACTTTGTCTACTAATAAATCTGTCATCCCTTAAAACTAGGAGGATCTTTTTTAAAGTTAAGCTTGCAAGTCATGCATTCTTTTAGGATTTCTTGCCTGGAAGTGCAAAGAATTATCTAAGTTAACAGAGTTTTACATAGTCTATGATGACTGTTAGTAGAGAAAGAGTTTTAGTGGCATCTTAAAATTTTAATATAATTTAATATTAGCAGGATTTGAGTTTAACAAGTTTTGTTTTTAAGTTTCAGGGGTTTTGACACGCTGTGGATTAGAGAATAAAACTCCTTCCTTCATTGAGAGTTCCTTTTTTGGTTTATTTGTTTTAACTGAATTTGGACTAGGATGTTTGGAAAAGAAGTAATTGAGTTGGTTTCTTAGGAACTCATTTGTACAGCATACAGAGTTCCTATGTAGTATGAACACTTAATACGCTCGGCTGCTAGCCAAGAGGTTCGAGGTTCAAGTCCACCCAGAGGCACCTCAGCAGAAAGGCCAGATGATTTACTTCTGAAAAATCAGCCATTAAAAACCCTGTGGAGCACAGTCCCACTCTGACACACATGGGGTTGCCAAGAGTCCAAATCAACTCAACAACAACTGGTTTAGGGATTGTCTATATTTATACTTCTCTGGGAATTCTGAAGCCTTTAGCAGCTGAACACGGGAGAGTTAACTGAAGTACAATGGAGAGTCTGGAGAAGTCTGGAGTAACCTATGGGTAGGGTGAAGAAAAGCATTCAGCTACTTTGTAATGAGATGGCATCTCTCATATCATGTCAGGCAATACATCTGGAAATGATAGCAATGGAAGCAAGTAGCAGTTCAATATCTACTCAGAGTCTGGGGCAACAAAGAAACCCAGCTTGCTAAGGAGGTATATTCAGGGAATTTCAGAGCAGGCAATATTTGTAGATCCCTGTCAGGGATTGAACTGTGTCCTCCAAAAATATGTGTCAACTTGGTTAGACCACGATTCCCAGTATTGTGTGGATGTCTTCCATTTTGTAATTGATATAGTTTTCCTATGTGTTGTAAATCCTAATCTCTGCCTGTGGTTAATGAGGCAAGATCAGGTTATGTTAAAGAGGATTAGTATGGGATGTAACACTCTTGCTCAGGTCACATCCCTGATTCAATGTAAAGGGAGTTTCCCCAGGGTGTGGCTTGCACCACCTTTTATTTTACAAGAGATAAAAGGGAATCCAGCGGAGAGTAGGGGACCTCATACCACCAAAAAAGCAGTGCCAGGAGCAGAGAGTGTCCTTTGGACCCAGGGTTCATGTGTGGAGGAGCTCCCAGACCAAAGGAAGATTGATGACAAGGACCCTCCACCAGAGCTGATGGAGGGAGAAAGCCTTCCCCTGGAGCTGGTGCTCTGAATTTGGACTTGTAGCCTACTAGGCTGTGAGAGAATAAATTTCTCTTTGTTAAAGCCATCAGCTTGTGGTATTTCTGTTATAGCAGTACTAGATAAGTAAGACAATTCCAAAGGCAATTCACATTTTCTCTAATGCTAATGAGAACCACACCTGGAGGCTAAGGCTACACAGTAAGATTCCATCCCTCCATTGGTGGAAAAAGCAAACAAACAAAGAAAATAATTTATAAAGAGTAAAAACATTCACTGAGTTTATATGATTTGCTAGACACTGTGCCTGACACTATGGGCAAAAAAATGGAATGAGACACAGGCCTATTCTTTCAAAGAATTCACAGTCTTGATGGTGATAGTTGTGATGATAATGATGGTGACGATAATAGCTAGTACTCACTGGAGGCTTAATAACTGTGAGGTACTGTTATAAGGTCTTTTTTGTTTCACAATCCTATGAGTTAGGTAATTCCAATCACCAGTAATTATCAACGCATCTTGATTGCATGTTTGATCAATTTCAGACTGCTGAAGTTGGTAAAAATCTTCAATTTCTTCCTCTTTGCCCTTAGTGGTTGGTGCGTAAATTTGAATAATAGTCGTATTAACTGGTCTTCCTTGTGGACATATGGATATTATCCTATCACTGACAGCACTGTACTTCAGGATAGACCTTGAAATGTTCTATTTGACAATGAATGCAAATGCCATTCCTTTTCAAGTTGTTATTCCCAGCATAGTAGACCATATGATTGTCCAATTCAAAATGGCCAATACCAGTCCATTTCAGCTCACTAATGCCTAGGATATCGATGTTTCATTTTTGAAGATTTCCAATTTTCCTAGAGTCATACTTCATACATTCCACTTTCTGATTATTAATGGATGTTTGCAGCTGTTTCTTCTTATTTTGAATTGTGCCACATCAGCAAATGAAGGTCCCAAAAGCTTGACTCCATCCACATCATTAAGTTTGACTCTACTTTGAGCATGCAGCTCTTCCCCAGTCCTCTTTTGAATGCCTTCCAACGTGAGGGGCTCATCTTCTGGTACTACATCAGACAATGTTCCCTTGCTATTCAGAATGCATTGATAATTACTGGTGGTTGGAATGCCAAAGCTGTAAACAAAGAAGAAGGATCTGTAGTTGGAAAATATGGCCTTGGTGATAGAAACGATGCTGGAGATCGCATGATAGAATTTTCTAAGACCAATGAATTCTTCATTGCAAATGTTTTTTTTGAACAACGTAAATGCTGACTATACACTTGGACCTTGCCAGATGGAATACATAGGAATCAAATTGACTACATCTGTGGAAAGAGACAATGGAAAAGCTCAATATCATCAGTCAGAACAAGGCCAGGGGCTGACTGTGGAACAGACCATCAATTGTTCATATGCAAGTTCAAACTGAAGCTGAAGAAAATTAGAGCAAGTCCACAAGAGCCAAAGTATGGCCTTGAGTATATCCCACCTGAATTTAGAGACCATCTCAAGAATAGATTTGACACATTGAACACTAATGACTGAAGATGAGACAACTTGTGGAATGACATCAAGGATATCATACATGAAGA